AGAGAGAGAGAGAGAGAGAGGGAGGGAGGCGGCATCGTCTTTCTGCCATGATGGCTCAGGCCAGAGCATGCCATTTGCTCAAGGCCACAAAGCTAGTAAAAGTAAATGGGAGCGAGTGTTCAGAACTTTTCGACTGGTCACCAGCCTGCCTCAGGAGAAGGCGAGCACAGTCACCTTCAACAAGTCACAGATCTCAGTCAGCTGTGGAAACTCCTGAAGGATAAGGCAAAGGATTAGATGTACTTGATGCTTCTCAGGTCTCTGGTAGCCGAGACTCTCCTAGATGCCTTCTGTGTCTGTCCTAGAAAGCCAGTGATACAAAACCATAAAATTTACTCTCGGTCACGGCCTGCTTGTTCTATTATATTCACAACCACTCCTGAGGCCTCTCCTATTTATGGTCTATTCACTTGGGCTTCTTCTGAATTCAGGAAGCTGCCTAAGCCCACACCGACAGTGCTTCCGAACCGCTGGGTCTGTCGTGCAGTCTCAGAAGTGCCTCTCAGTTTCTCCTGACCTTCCTTCTGAGCAGCCTAATCTCCAGCTGCTTCCGGTGTGTGTGCTGTAGTTCCTTGGCTAATCGCAAGCTTCATATTTCTCTTTTGTGACAAGTGATGAATGAACGGCTTTTTTAAAAACCCTTTGAGCTGCAAGTTGTAGGTAGTTCTCAGTATGAAAGGAGGCTGGTCATGTCCAGATATGGTGCTAAGCTTGAACAAGGCAAGATATCTCTGCTGTTTGTGAGGGTCCTGCTGGGTCTGGAAGGATCCCTTCAAGACTCTCCCAGATTCTCTGAGACCAGAGGAGCCCGAGGCTCTCCTCCTTTCCTCATTCCAGATGGCAACTGGCTTCCGGTGGGACCCTGGAGGTACCTCACTCCTCTGTCAGCCCGCCCAGCTCACCAGGGTGATGCACATCTCCATTATTTCTGTCACCCCTGGCCATGGTCAGATTTTAGCAACAGGAATCGTAGAGATGGAAGGAAAAAAGAAGAGCTGTAAGAGATAAGCAGCGCCTGGGACCAGTAAGGGAAAAGGAAGACCAAGAAGCAAAGGAAGAAAGTTTTTCAACAGGAAGCTTCAGTGGAAGAAGATGGGAAAGCAAGAGGCCCAAGTACTGAATAAACCAGATTTATAAATAACCGGGTTGTGTAACCCATTTTCATTCCATTTTGTGTGATGCTACAGTGTGTTTGTGAGCGCCTCACTGTGAGCATGTGAAGTGAAGAAAATCAAAGCATCGATATCACCCATGTTATAAATTTAACATTAAGGATAGTACTGTACACACATGTGATATTTATGGGATTTCAACAAGCCATGTACCTACCTCCTGGGTGTAGCATACATTGTAAGTCAGTTGAGAGGACTTGCTCATTCACTGTGGTACTTCAGGAGTGAAGAGATTTTCAGTTTCTCTTCAGCTGGGTCTTTACCATCTGAGTGAGAAGATGAGTCAGGCTCCCTCTCTCCAGCAGAGGGGCAAGGTGTTGTGTGGTGGGCAGGAGAAGATGGAAATGATACTCCCTAGGCCCCTTGGGTGGGGATGGTGACCCACGGATTCACTCTGTGATGTCACAGTGGAAGGCAGGGCTCTTCCTGATGTCCCCACCCACTACTTGCCCAAGCCCAGGAAGATATGGTTGGGAGAGGGACTTGCTGGTGCTTATCAAAGGCATCATCACTTCAAGTTCTTTAGTATTCATGTTAAAAAACTTAAAACACACACTACAATAAGACAATGGAATCTTACTATGGTAAAAGTAGAATGCAGCACTCCCGAAATAAAGTTGGATTCCATGGAAAAAATACACTACTTCCATTTTAAAATTTGAAGTCATATGAAATAAAATTAGGAATTCCTGTTACACCATCCACATCATAAGTATTAAAAAGCTGCCTGTGGCTAGTAGCTACTGAATTGGATAGCATGACTCTAGGCCATTCTCAAGAGGCAACTTCATACAGGAATTACTATTCTAAAGGACTACTGCCTGGTAACCTAGAATACATTAATAGTTTGTGTGTGTGTGTGTGTGTGTGTGTGTGTGTGTGTGTTTGTTTGTTTTGTTTTGTTTTATTTTTTGGTACCGGGCATTGAACTCTGGACCTTGTGCTTGCAAGGCAGGTGCTGGAGCCACTGAGCTAAATCCCTGGCCCTACATTAACAGTTTTAAGGAATCCCTAATTTGGGCTTGGGTCGGAGTAACATGGAGGCATAACTCTGAGGCTTCAGGCTGAGGTTGTCAGCCTCCCTCGTATTCCAGCTGTCTGGATGGGGGTCTGCTGCCACATGAAACATCACACCCAGTCCACCTCTGTGCCTTACTAGAGCTCGTTCCTAGGGACTCATTCCTCAGCCTTGATTCCTGTCTCAATACCCTGTAATCCCAGCTGTTCCTGTGAACTCACAGGGCACGTCTGGTAGGGCTGTAGAATGCGAACCTCTCTACACGAGGTCTTGAACAGTTTTTCTGCTTTTGGTGTGTTAAGAGAGAAGATTACTGTTACTCTGTTTCTTCTATGAAATTCTAAGCTGCTTGAGGTCAAAATCTACTTTACTTCTGCGGTGCCCAGTATAGTGGTAAGGGGGTAATAGTTGCTCAGTAAGTATCATTTCATTAAATGACCTCAATTACCTACGTAACTGTCTAAGGGAGAACAGCAGGCCTGAAAGTTTCAATAACTTGACAAAGCCTGGGTGGTGCTGGGGGACCCATGGAGGTACTCTGTGATATCACAGTGGAAGCAGGGAGAAGGACCAGGTTGGGAGGGGAATGTGCTGATATCTATTGAAGCCTCAGATGTCTTCTGAGGACTCTAGATCACTGCTTTTCTATCCATACATAAGAATTACTTGGGGTGGGGGATGGACATGAGCAAAATATATTATTCACATTGGAAAGCCCCCAAATGTGAAACTAGGGTGGCAGGTTAGGTAAGGGGGTGATAGAGGTTAAAATTATCAAAGTATTTTATATATGTGTACAAATCCACCAAAATCAATCCCATTAATCTTCATAACTAATAAAAGAAAGTGAAACAAGAAACACCAACAACAAAACGAAAAAGGGAACATACTTGAACACCCAATCTCTAACCCTAAAAGCACGTCACCTGGGAGATTATTCAAGTGTAGATCCTCAGGTCTGGGATGGCCAAATTGTTGATAAGAAAAGGTGGATAAATTTGACTTCAATAAACCAAAATGGAAATGCTTTGCTTTTGTATGTTGATCAAGATGTCAGTTCTTTCTAAGTTCATTTATAAAGTTAATGTAATCCCAATACCAACATTAACGAGCATTTTTTTAGTTTTCATTTTTGAGACAGGGTCTCACTATGTTGTTTAGACTGGACTTGAACTCACTGTGTAACCCAAGATCTTGTGCCTCAGCCTCCTGAATGCTGGGATTACAGGTGTGCACCACCACACATGGCACCATGAGAATCTTAGAGACCATGAGCACTTGATATTTAAAATCTCGTGAGCAAAAATGCACAAGGAGTGCTAGAAGGACCCTGAAAAGGACGAGCTGTGAGGCAGGACTATTCTTCTTGGGTACCAGGGATTGAACTTGAGACCTTGTGCTTGTGAGGCAGGTGGCAGAACCACTGTGTTAAATCCCCAGTATGGACTATTCTTAATAGATCAGAACCGTGAGGTACCAGTACATGACTAGACAAACACCAGTGGAATAGATTAGTCAGTTAAGAAATATACACAGCTATGTATGGACCTCCAACCTAGGACAGAGGTGAAAAAAGATGATTTTTAAAAACAAATGGTGTTGAAACAAACTGTATAGCCTTTTAGTAAAATATATATCATATTCAGTTTTTCATATCATATGCAAGAGTAAACTGTAAGTGGACCAGAGACCTGAATTTAAATATGAAATTATACAAATACATTGTAAGTGTAAAGAAAGGCTTTCTAACTAAGCCTGAAAGTCCAGATACTTGGCAAAAGATTAATATGTTTGACTACATTAAAACAACAACAAACAAAAGCCAACCAAGCTTCTGCATGGCAAAAATTGCCATACACAAAACCAAGAAGAAAATATGTATATGTCACTAGCAAAAGGCTATTTTCCCTCTTAGGTAAAGAACTTTTAGTAATCAAGAGAAAAAAAGATAAAAATTCCTATAGAAAAGTGGGCAAAATTCAGGAATGGGCAACTCACAAAAAGAGACATAAAAATGTTCCTAAATGTATGAAAGCAGCTCAGGTTCACTTTTTATAAAAAGTGTAATGGAAATTAAAACTACAATGAGGTAGCATTTCTCACTTGGCAGATTAGCAAAAGTAAAAAATTTGGCAATACACTGTGCTATAGAGGTGCTCTCATACACTCTCAGTGGGAAGGTAAATGCTGCAGCCCTGGGAGGAGAATTTTGCAGCATTTAACAATACCTCATGTGTACCAGAAATCAACCTTTTGGGGATTTACCCTGATGATACACCTGCACAATATGAAAATATATATGCATGAAATTCTTCACAACATTATTTGTCATGATTAAATATTGGAAACTACCTAGATATCCAAGCACAGAAAATTGCTTGAATAAAATATGGCACACATTTCCCAGGGAGTACTGTGAAGCTATTAAAAAAAAAAACAAAAAACAAAAAAACAACTAATAGACAAGGGGGAGATTTCCAGAATTGATATGCAAATCAGTTTCCAGGAAATAGTCAATGAAAAATCCCAAGCACAGAAGAGAATATATAGCATACCATCGTTTGTATAAGAAAGGGGGATAAACAAAGCATATATCTGTTTATCGCTACTAAAAGAAATCCAGAGCGGATAAAACGGAAAAAAAATGAAGCTGATTTTTTACAAAGGGCAGGAGCGGAAGAGATTGCAGGGGAGTGACACTTCTCTTGGAATTATTTTGCTACAGTTTTGACTTTTAGAAATATGCTAATGTTTTACTCATTCAAAAATACAATTAAAACAAGATGAAAGAGAAATAAAACCTAAAACTGTAAGAAAACTGCCACAAACCCAATTGTACTCTACATGAGTACTCTATAATAATTGCACTCTATAACCACACTGAAAGGGTATGAGCAAAAGTAAGAACAAATCCAAAGAGCTCTGGAATGCAGCCTTTGACTCTCTCTACCGTCAGTCTTTCGAGAGGCTGGGCGTGAAGGTGAGACAGATGGGAAGTGCCTGACTGTCTTTTCCCTGCGCTAGCTGGAGGTGGATGTACTTGGCTAGTGGCCACTCTGCCCCTTCCCCTGGCCTCCTTTTGCGCCCCATTGGACTGGGCCGGTTTGCTTCAGGGTCCTCCAGGACTATTTGGCAGTGTCCTCCCTGGCTATCACCACTGTAACATGAGTGCAGTGAGGCAGCATGGTCCCCCTTCCAACACTTCAGCCATTTTAGTCCATTTGGGTAACACCTGCAATGGAGGGATCTAGGCCCTTTATTTGCATACTCCACATGCGGCTCTCTAGGGGGACCCCGTCCAGCGGGGAATAAGAGGTGAGAGCCGCCTCTTATTCGTGGGTCATCAGAGGCCGATCCGATCTTGAATGTCTGTGAAGGAAATCTTTAAGAAGTTAGAGCACATGGCCCAAGTCTGATTTCTGATCAAAGGCTCTTTATTGGCTCAGCAAAACGATTATATACTGTTATCCCAGGGGGAAGGTTCAGCAAGCTTATTGGACAGTTCAAACAAATCTTCTACCAATCACATGAGTCACTCAAGCATTTAACCATAAAGGGACAAAGCATTTATCAGCATACAGCAATCAGTATTTTACCAAATGTGGGGAGGGGTAAGTGGGAAGGCGTACATCAACAATTAACCTTATGCAATCTTTAACTTAACAATCTCCAGGGGCAAGCGGGGCAAGGGGAAAACCAATTTTGATACCAAGATTCGTCCTTTTCCCGTTGCTTCTGCCTTTGTTCGATGCTTTCCTCAACCCTTCTAATGCTATCATCCACCAGGCCCAGTTTATCTTTAAAAAAGCAACATTCTTAAAGAAGGGGGTTGGGGCCAATGGCAATGGGTTTGAACTGAGGTGGTTCTTTCAAAAGCCTGATGGAAAAGGTGAGACCCGGATCACGGCCAGCGAAGGCCCCACTCTACCTGACAGTCCAGTGGTATTGTTTGCTGGGCGTGGTGGTGCACGCCCATAATCCCATAAAACTAGTCTGGATTACAGTGAGCTCCAGGTCGACACCCGTAATCCCATAAACCCAGCCTGAATTACACAGTGAGTTTAGCCTGGATTACACAGAGAGCTCCAGGTCAATCTCATCTGCATAGCTGAGACCCTCATCTCAGAAAAGCCAAATAGAGTCATAGATTGTGTCAATGCCTCAATGGTAGAAGTTACTTTTCCAATGTCAAATGCCAGCAGGCTCCCACATCCACATTCACGACAAGCCTTCCAGAGGATCCTCTGGTTTCAGCCCTCACCCTCACTGAAACAGGCCTGCAAACTGCTATCTAGGTAGTCCTTCCCAGGCACTTAACTGAGTTTTAGTCTAGGAGGGTTCCCTCTGGGGTACTAGCCCCACTGT